CTGTGGCAACAGCCTCTAGCACTACTGTAGCTTTTTTTGAAGCTCCTTGAAAAACAAAGCCTCCATGCACTTGGCTAGTTCTTCCTCTACCACTTCATGCACCGGCAGATACGATAACGTTTTTGAACAATCCCTGATACACTCCTGGAGTAACAAAAAGCATTGTTCAGATCGATAGGTCTCCTTATTAGGCAGCTTAACCAATAACAAGATACCTCGAACTCGCCAAGTTGAAGCAGACAAGCTGCTCGGTTTGGCAGACATGTGGCAATTAAGTGCCCAATCATCCCCGGGCAGCCACGCGAAGCGTTCATCTCTAGCATTTTGCGGATTGCATCGTTCGTTGGGAGGCGCAAGTGATCGAATGCGTACACTGCCATAATAGCAAGAACAAATCGCTTCAGCGACATGTTGACCGTAGATTCAGCAATAGAAAAGTTTCATCTAGAGAAATCGGCAGAGTACCCATGCGCTAGCATTCAGAGGGCCGCAGCGACCTTGATTGTTGGATGGATGCATTGTTTCAGTAGTGTCCCGCTTCCAGGTAAAGTACGAGTCATATTGACCGACGGTTTCGACTACCTGAAGGAAGAGGCTTCGACTCATGCGAAATCACCATCTGAATTGCTCAGGTGTGTATGTAGATTGACTGGAAACGTACATCTTGCTGAAGCGATCGTAGGCGCCCGAGAAGTCTCTGTTGATATTGGGCTGACGTCCCTGTTGAGAGCGCCTGTGCCTGCGAGCTCGGAGATGTCGCTTGTAGCGCCAATGCGCACCGTAGAGGCTTGCTCCACCGAGCATTACTGAGGGTAACATCTTTAAAACAGAAACTGATTTGTTAGGGTCACTACAGCGTCACTACAACGGGTGAGGTGACTTAGGATAGTGCACATGTAGTACACTAAGCTTGAATTTCTATGTGACAGATTTGCATGTTTTTGTCATTCACTACGCTATACCCCACGGACCCATTGCACTATCAGTGCAGATGCTCCAATGTGGTACGCCGTTGTACTTTTCCCGGGACGTATTTTGATGCAGGTTTCCGGGAATGAGCAAGTAAAGACGAGGTTCCCAGCACCTGTGCAAGCCGATTGAGCAATTGGCAAATGGCCAATCATAATTGATAACACCGAAGAATCGGTGCATGATTGGTCAGTTTGGGAAGGCCCCTAATTGGCACGGTGGTCCCAAATTGTCAGTTTACCTTAGCGATTGTACGACAGTTGTCGCGTACAAAATACCCTCACTAGCTACCCCCTCCTCTCTCTCACTCTCTCTTCAATCCTGCCGGCCAGTCGATTTATACTTCACTCTTCCGTGCGCCACTTGAATTGAATTTAATACACAAAGTCTAGATATTCCCAACTAAAAGGAGAAAAATTACCTAAATTTACTAGCGTGATGGGTAGCATTCTCTTTTTGTATACTGTTTTATGCACAAAGGATCCGGCTGTAACAGTACAAAATAGGAAAACGAGGTATCCTTTTGTTGTTGCGAAAGCGTTAATATATCAACCT